AGAAGGATCTAAATGACAGTGACAGCAGCTATGCTTAACTGTGTGAGCTCACAGCAGGTGACGTAGACTCTAACTCAAAGGAATCTTCGAATTCATAGTCTCCAAAATGGAAAGACCAGTGTATTATTAGCCTCACCAGCACCCACCCTACACTGTAACTGCAGTCAGTACTCCAGATTAGAGGCTCTTGTTATGCAGCTGATCAAGCCAAAGGAAACTTCTAGAAATCATCTCCTGGACTCAGAGTTTCAAAGAGAATCTCCACATTCAGAAATATGTGGAAAGATGAAAGAACTGCCCCAGAAAACATCAACTTACACGAATCTTAATAACTCTAGTCTTCGCTCCACAATTCTTCTTAAGCAGCATCTTCTGAAAGAGAAGTAGAATCCAGGGATTAGTAGCAGTAGCACGAGGGAACAGAGAGAGAGGGAGGTCGTAGGGAGTCTCCGCTCACCAACATGTAATTTAATAAAAAAAAAAAAAAAAAAAGATGGATGGATAGTTAAGTGAGATATGAAAGACAGGACTATAAGAATTACCAGAGATGGCCATCAAGCAATCAACCTAATCTCAGGTTCTCTAGCCCAGCAGATCAGCTTGTCTTTTGGAAGTTTTTAAAAATGAAGTACAAGAAATTCCACAGAGAAAGCAATGGAACAACTTCCTAAAAGGAAGTTTCTTCCTAATTTCTGTCAATTAGTGGTTACACTCTGCCCTGAAGCAGGTGAATTTATCTTCCTTTTATGAAGAAAAAAAATTGTCTATTTAATGTAAGTGTGGCTGTCCCCATTATTTAACATTTATTTTCATTATATTTGTTTAGAATTACAAAACAAGGTAAAAAGCACCTGCTCATAGTCCTAAAAGCCTTTGCCATATACTGTAAGAGCCATTAAAGCTGTCATAATATATGAACCGCACAATTTAGCAAAGAGGATGTACTTAAAACAGCAATTATTCTGTGTAACTACAGAAATAAACAGGTGAGTTGCAGCTCTACCCCAGTTTTGGGGAAGCATTTTGAAAGCTGGCGAGTAAAATAATTTTTTCCTTCAAAAAAAAATCACTTAGAAGTGAAAAAACAGGGCTTCAGCAGAAAACAGTTTTTCCATAAAAATGACTTCAACTACTTCTTTCACAGTGAAAAACTTGGTGGTGGGGCATGTCAGGAAGAAACTTCTCCATCAGCTTTTGAAAGAAATAATGGATTTCCCTAGCTCCTGACTGCTTTCTATCCTTCACACGGTTGGAAAACTGTGTGAAGTATGGGAAAGCACTTTTCCTCCTCTCACTTTAGCAAAGCAACTGAGGGTTTTTTCAGCTGGAATTCTTAAGGCAGAAGACTTGATGAAAAACGTCCCACCATCCTACCAAAGTAGAGGGTAAACAGTGAGGCCTTACTGTGTCATCGCTGCCTTTTATTTGTAGTCCTCCTTCTTTTTCCAGTAGAAAACAAGACAAAAGCAATACAGTGAAGGGAGCCTTGGAAAGTCAAAAATCTTAAGAAAAAAAAAAAACACCCACAATCTCACAAAAAACAAAACTGAAGCCAAAATTCAGGTGAAAATAAAGTATTTTTTTTCCAGCAGAAAGTTCAGCTGAAAGAAAAAAATCCCATTCTTCTACCAGCTTCCATCATTTTACATCACACAAACACATCTTTGCAGCGCTCGCTCACACAGCCATCCAGGCCTTGGAAAGGGGACTGAAAACCCACTCGACTCGCTATTTCTATGTGCGCTAGCCTCTAGGACCCAAAATCCAGCCCTCAGCATACTCATAGCCCACTGTGTGCCTGGAAAACAAACAGGCAATGCAACATGTCTTGAAACTTGTGAGTAGTATGGGGCTTTGGGAAAGTGCACTTCGCTGTCCAAGTACATATCTCAGAGAAGCGAGATGCTGCAAGGATTTTGAGCTCTTTCTTTCAATCCTTTGGCAGGTGAATCTTACTGCCGCCTTCATTATTCATCAAAGGGCTAGCCGTGGCCATCCCTGATGCCTCTGCCCCTCAGGTCTGCTTTCGAAACACAGGCTCCCATGTCAGCACAGCCCCAAGGATTAACCTCTAACCTAAAAGGACTCCAACAGGTCTTTGCGCAAACCTGGTGGAAGGAGACAAAGAACTGCTGAACTAGACTAAACCCAAGCCTGTGCTCTCCAACTACCCAATTCTCTGGTAATTCCTATAGAACAATGCAGAGCTCCATTCTCAGCTGTGCTGCAAGGCAATTATTGTATAGCTGGCATTTACTGTGAAGTTACTGCCTTTTTTTAAGACCCTCCACAACCTCTCACTCGGTGAAAAAGAGTCGGGGGAAGGGAGAACCTGGTGGGACTGACAAATCCCATGGGTGCAGGGAAGGGCAAAATGAACAGCTGTGAGGCCTCCCAAAGCTCTGGTCTCACCGTAAGCGTTTCTTATAAACTACTGTGAAATGCTACCTGGTGGGGATGAGGAAAGGCAAACTAGACAGCACAAGACAACAGCTCACTGATAGGATAAAGTCTGTGAGAGAAAGAGCAGGGTGGAGCAACGAAAGTGGGAAATAGGATTCCTCGTTTCAGACCCTATCCTTTGGAGAACAGTGCTGTTTGGAGAACAGCACTGTTAACAATAGGGCTTGGACAACCACAACATACCCCGCCACGTCCCACTTGACAGCAAGCTCTGTGATTCTGGGCGAGACTCTCCGCTTCACCAGGACTGTGTCAGCCAGAGAGCAAGTACAGCACCTTCCACTCCAACCCAGCTAGATCCACTGACTAGGAAGGTCCTACCCACAGCTGCTCCAATGACTCTATCAGGGTGCCACAAACACATTGTTTCCCAACTACAAATTAGCTGAGGCACTAAGACCTTTACTTTACTCATCCTGGCTTCCTATTGAAATGCATAAGGAGGAACAACAGAAAACAAGAATTGCAGCTGTGTAGCTACCTTTAGAGAAGCTTACAAAGATTGATTGAAGAGCCTGAATTAGCCTATAGGTGGATGGACAACCAGTCAGGCTTCACCGAGAGGAATTCAAGTGCTCAGCTTCAGCCTAAGTCCTATGCTATTGGCAGAAAATGGAGGTGCTCTTTTAGCTGATGGTGTAGTGATAAGCTTTAACCATAAGATGATCTTAATGCTATTCCCACTATTGCTACAGTTTGAAGAGGTCACAGTGTGCAGCAAGAGTGGGATGTCCTAGATAACAAGAATTTGTGCTGGTTAATAATGATCTCTGGTGTGCCTCTTGACGGACTTAGTAAAATTAAGGCATGACACATACGCGTGTAAAGCTGCAGCATAAACCTCAGCAGAGGTCCAGGTTCTGAAATTACCGGGTGACCGGAAGCAGAGCAACAGCACTTACGTTGCACTCTTTCAGCTGCACTACAAGGATCCAAGAGCTTCAGAAGAGACAAAATAGAGGGAGAGAAGGAAGGGACGGAGAACAAGCTTGCCACACAATCCTGCAGCTAAAAATAAAAAGGCCAGTTCCTAAACGTTACTTTATCAAACCAAATCACTTCCATTTCACTGGCAGCCACACGTTCTCTGCACAATGCACCCAGCATGATAAAGCCATGATTTACCAGAAGTCAAGTATCTTTGTACTGTTTTCCTTCCCTCAGTTTTCCCTTTCCAGGGTCAATTCCTTCCCAAACCTGAGGACAGACTTTCAGATTAGGAAGCTAAAACATACTGCTGCCTAGCAACAGCCCAGGGACTTTCCAAGGCAGCCTGTTCTCATCCTAACTCTCTAGAGATTTCCACGTCACAAGCCAGCCACGAGATGCAGCAATTCATTAACTCCTGTTCACACAGATAGCTGAAATAACATTTATTTGGCTACGTGACTAGCAGTAGGCTAAAGCCAGGAAGAATGGCCTGTAAAAAAGGTAACGTACTCATAACTGTGAGATTACTCCTAACGACTAGGCCAATCTGGAAGCGTGGTTGTAGTTTCTGAAGCTATTTTGTGGGAGCTGTGATAAGAAGAGGAGCAGCGATCTGCCCAGGGTCACAGAAAATATTAGTAGCAGAGCTGAGAATAAACTGTAGGGTTTGGTTTCTGAAACCTTTCCTTCCACCTGCAGGAAAGGAAATGGAAGAAAAACAGGCAGCATCTGTGCTCAGCCTCTTTATTTCAATTAAAGAGTCTCTTCTGTTGGTCTCAGACAGAACTGTTGGCATTAGAGCCAAAACTTAGAACTTGGAAGTACTATTATTTGCATGATGGAAAGTTGATTTTATAATCTACTGTGGCTTCTGCTTAAAAGGAGGAAATGAAATGACTAAGGAAGCGTGGAAAGTCTTTTTGAGGGTACAGGAATTGAGTCTTGCTCTAAAAATAAGGCTGAATTTTATGGTTAAACTCAGAATATAGCAGAATTAACTCACCCTAAGAACCCTCCCACTTATCCCACCTCCTGTTACACAAACACTTTCTGCTCCTAACCCAGTGACTCCCTCCCTCCTGGACCTGGATTTAAAGGATAGTTGCTGGGATTGGAAATGATCCCTTAGAGGGTTGCATGTTTACGCTGTAATGAACCCCTGAGCTGATATGTTTTTGCTACACATCACTGCCACATCAAAATACCACATTAACAGCAGAGATGAAACACCACCCCTGCTCCTCTTAAAGCACAGCCCTCTAATTCAGCCTTGCTTCGGGTGAAATCTCCAATTAGGCAGTAGCACGCTAAGTCCTCTAACACTGATTTGAATAGTTCTGAATCTAACCCAGACAGTAAGTGTTGCACACCTGCACTTGTTTATGCATACAAACAACTGTGTCATTCAAATGACTATAAAATAAATTACCAAATAAAACATAGCTATTCTTAAGGCCAAGTCACTCTAGGAATAGTATAATCGTTAAGAAGCATGAATTTGTGTCACAATATGGCAGTTCAAAAGTAAATATTTAAAACCAGCAATGAACAGTTTAAAGACTTAATCGTGGCTTAATTTTCAAAAATTTAGGAGTGTGGACAATTTCTTAAATAAGCATACAATGTAAAATATCATCCTGTATATTAATAAACACCCTTCCTTTTAGACCTGCTTTTTATATGCACTTTTCTATTTTTACAATGGTTTCATTTTCACTACCTCCACAAGACAGAGCAACAGCTCTTTTGCCTGCTGATTTTCTCTTTAATTTTATTATCTACTGGTAGTTTTAAACCTATGGGTCTGTCTTCAGTAAGATGCTGCTCTACTATTACAATTTTTCCAAACAGTTTTAGTTGATTTGGTGCAAGTGTGCACAGGAACACTCAGTCCAACTTCTATCTATCTACCATCATTCCACTAATTTATATTAAACTAACAAGCTTCATCAAATGTTAAATATTTATGTACAGCAGCT